GAAATTAAGAATGTAGAGCCCAGAGAAAATGAGAATCTATGAAATGAGACTTTTTGGTACTTTTTCGTTATTCAAAAGGTACTTTTTGAATTTTCTATAATATTAGACCCAGAAACATGAAATTAAGCATGTAGAGCCCGGAGCAAATGAGGACTTTTTGGTACCTTTTCATTCCCGAAAATGTACTTTTTGAATTTTCTATAATATTGAACCCACACACAGGGAAAAAGAAATATACACGCCTGGTACCAAATTGACATCAAACTGTTTATAATTTTTCAATACCATCCGTTGTCAAATTATATACATGCATACGTACGACAACACTATGTTATGTTGACAACATTGCAACAATTCGTTGTCGAAATCTAAATTTTATACACATTCGTTGTCTAAATGTTAACAAACGTGGTAAGCTCACTATTGACAAACAATCCGTTGCCAATAGTGAGCTTACCACGTTTGTTAACATTTAGACAACGGATGTGTATAAAATTTAGATTTCGACAACAAATTGTTGCAATATTGACAACGTTGCATTTTTAAAATTACATAGTGTTGTCGTTCGTATGTATATACTTTGACAACGGATGTTATTGAAAAATTATAAACTATTTGGTGTCAATTTGGTACCAGGCGTGTATATTTCCTTTTCCCTCTGTGCAGAAACATGAAATTAAGCAAACGTATAAAAAGGGACTTTTTGCTACTTTTTCATTCTTTAAAAGGTACTTTTTGAGTTTTCTATAATATTGAACCTAGAAACATGAAATTAAGCATGTAGAGACCGGAGTAAATGAGAACCCATAAAAGGGGGCTTTTTGGTACTTTTTGAGTTTTCTATAATATTGAACCTAGAAACATGAAATTAAGCATGCAGAGCCTGTAGTAAATGAGAACCTATAAAAGAGGAATTTTTGGTACTTTTTCGTTCTTCAAAAGGTACTTTTTGAGTTTTCTATAATATTGAACATGAAAACTTGAAATTAAGCGTGTAGAACCCGCAGTGAATGAAAGCCTATAAACGGATAATTTTTGGTACTTTTTTGTTCTTCAATAGGTACTTTTTGAGTTTTCAATTACATTGAACATAGAAACTCAAAACTAAGCATTCAGGGACTTATGTGAATGAAAATCTAAAATAGAGTATTTTCTGGTACCTTTTCGTTCTTTAACTGGTACTTTTTGAATTTTTGATAATATTGGACTTAGAAACATGAAAATAAATAGAAGAGGTCTTTTGGTATGTTTTCGTACTTCTACTGATACTTTCTGAGATTTCTAAAATATTAAATATATATATAAACATAAAATGAAACACGTAGTGTCCTGGTAGAACGAAAATATATAAAACGAGACTTTCTGGTACTTTTTTTAATAATACTTTTTGCATTTCTATAATATTGAACCTAAAAACATAAAATTTAACATGCACCATCCTTATTCAACTAAAATCTAGAAAAGAGAGTTTCTGTTACTTTTTCGTTCTTCAGCTGATATTTTTTGAGTTTCCTGTATAAGAGGAACTTCTGGTTGAAAATTTAACATGCATCATCCTTATTCAACTAAAATCTAAAAACGAGAGTTTCTGTTACTTTTTCGTTCTTCAGCTGATATTTTTTGAGTTTCCTGTAATATTGAAACTAGAATCAATTATTATTGATTGAAAACTATGAATGAAAAATTGAACCTAGGAACCTGTATGAAAATCTATAAGAGGGGACTTTTTGATACGCAGATATACATAAATGTATATTGGACTGACTGAAAACTTACAATAATATTTATTTTATTTCATTACGATGAGGGTAGCGAAGCGCACTGGGTATAGCTAGATTTACATAAATTTTTTAACATTTTATTTAAAATACCAACCATTACCAACTACTGTAAAAGTAGTTCTTTTTTTAAATTCGGATGTAATTATTACGTAAAAACTCCCCAGATTTTTTGCAAAAATCTGAAATATAATTAAAAAGATCTGAATTAACCTTAAACATTTTGATATATACATAATTGGAAATTCTTGAATGTGACAATTGGAAATGTTTTAATGTACACATTTGAGTACTTTTTGAATAACCCTAAAGAGTAATAGAGAGCAGTAATGACAACGTTTGCAATGGTGTCGAAAATGCATTGAATATGAATGAGTATTTTTATATACATACATACATATGTACATGCATATGTTGTGTAGAAAATTAAATTTACTATTTAATGACGTCATTTATGGATAATTGAAAAATTTTCTTATACTGTGGAACTTGTTGAAATATGTTGATTTAAAATTTTTTAAGATGTTACTTATTAAAATGTTTGCGTTTACTCTAATTCTCAGTTTTAATTACTAAAATTGAGGAAACGCCTGTGAGATTATTAAGGGAGAAAGTAAGAAGTTTAATAAAAACCACAAGTATTTTTATATTAATGTTGTTGCAATCACCCAACCAAAATGTTTATACAATAATACTATTGATTGTCATAAAATCCATTATTATCGATGAACTACTAACAATAAGACTCATCCAAAGATCTGAAATTGTATATACAAACATACATACATATGTATGTAAACAAGTTTTAGCCAAGACTCATTTAAAGTAAATTTATATATTTTGGAAATGTATTTTTATGTATATACATATGTATGTATGTATGTATGTATGTATGTATGTATGTATGTATGTATGTATGTATGTATGTATGTATGTATGTAAGTATATGTACATACATATATTTGAATATATTTTTAATGTAAATAGACATATTTGTTTTATTTTTATGTATGTTGGAGTGTAGTTTTTTTAATTATGTTTTAAAATGCATTTAATATTCAAATGCAAACACGCTGACTCATGTACATTAAGGTGGCCCCAAAATAGACGTTGCTGATGTTCCCGTTGAAAACCAAAATTAAGTTCTTTCTGTTTCAAAATTGTTTGTCCTGACGTCAATACCAACTATTACCATAGAGTCACCCTAATATACATACATATGTATATAAACACATAAACAATTGATATTTTATTTATGTATATTGCTGTTTATTCATTCTTTCATACATTTTTGATTGCCAGTGATGTTTATTATTGCTTTTAGTATTTATAATATTTTTTCAGTTTTTCAAATATGCCCCTGCCAGCAAATTTGAGTTTAATTTTGGATAAATGAACTAAATTTACACTATTTAGGCTCAACTTCACGTTTCTCAGTGCTAAATAAAAATATTTACAAAAACAAAATACGTAACTTTCTGATTTTTATCCCATTTTTCTAAAATTTTAGTTCGATCTAATATGTATACCAAAAAGAAACGTAAATGATAATAATTCGATAGAATAAATATGTATAAAAAGAACACTTTTTAATACACTAACAAGATAATTGCTCTCAAAATTTAAAAGAAGAAGTGTTTGTATATTTCAGTAAATATACATATTATGTTTATAGTGATCAGTTGTGTGAATAGTAAAACATTGCAAAACTTTGTAATAATTTTATTTAAAATTTAATATATAAAAAATAAGTTTAATATGTAATAAACATAAGTGAGAGATTAGTGAGTATAAGCAATTTTAAATTATTCATAAAGTAAGAGAAATAAAGAAAATTTGTTATGAAAATTTGTACTGAAAACCGAAATCGACTCACTAAGTAAGTATTAAACAGGCGGAACAGGTTCTTCCTTTCAAATTGTGCTATATTAGATGTTTTTTATATATTTTTACCTATACGTTCCCTGTAGGAAATGCCAATATTAAAAATGTGCTGAATCACTATTGACTTTGTCAGTAGTACTAGTGTCGAATTATACCCTATACAAGGCTTAGTGCTATTGACATTTAACATGTGCGTGTCATTGAAAATCCTCTAGTAACATTATGACTATTGACTTGGTATTGACTAGGTACTTCTCATGGATACATATGGTGACATTAGAACCAGGAATTTACTAGTAAATTTCTATATCGCGAGTCCATTCAGTTTTAATACAGACATTTTCTTAAGGAATATTGACATGTTTGTTGACAATGCCACTAGATATACACCACATCTTTGGTCTCTGTATTTTTTATATTGACACAGAAATGAAAGATTGGAGACATTTGAACTAGTACTGTTGACAAAAAGATATATGGACCCAGTTTGACTGCAGGGTTGTTACGTTATGGATACTATTTGGATAGCAATTGTTTGCACGGCGTAAATACATAAGAGTAAAAACTACAAACATAAATCAATTGTAATACAATTAATATTAAAATTTATTAATTTTTCTACAGTTTTCAATTTATTTTAAAAACAAAATCTCATACTTTGTTTTCGTTTAAGTGTACATTGAAATATGTCAACGACATATAGCGGACTGACCAAGGCGAATTAATGAAATTTGTTATATATGTAGTTTGACAGTGTCGGGTTTGAGAGAGAATTTTTTTTATAAAGAGTTTGACAACTTCGGGCTAAATTTCCATGGACAAAAAAAAAAAACAATCAGCTGTTGAAATGACTTCACCTTATTAGTTTCGCCATGGGACTGACTGAATAAAGAACCCAATTAAAACATGTATAAGCTTAAATGCAATAAATATTAATTATTAGAATTTTTAATAAACTTTGTCATCATTATTGTATGTAATTATATAATTATCACTACTGTTGCTTATACATAGATATGTATGTGTGTCTGTATTGAAGTTTGAGTAAAGTAAATCTTCAAATGAAAATAAAAACAAATTATTTATTTAATTCTCAAATGAATGATTTTCTTTCACCAATAGCTTCAATGAAGAGAAAATAACTTTCACATAGAAATACAGACAGAAACGGTTATGAAATTTCCGAAATTTGTTGTTATTTTTTATACAGAAAGAGGGTTTTAGTTTTAGTGGTTGTTGTTTGATCACTGGAACGGAAATATGTCTACATTAATTCAATACAATTTCTTTGGAATTATAATTTGTATAACACTGCAAATAAATAAAGTATGTATTTACAATAATGTGTTTATATAAATTTTTTTAAATGCTTAGATAAACGCAATTCTCTGGGATAACCCCATTAGATGTTTTGTTGTGGACTTTAAATAATTCTTTTTTTATTTAGTTTAGTTTATTTTTTGTTTTGATTTTTTCACTTGTTTATACAATTTTCACAACATTTACACTTGTTCCATAAATAGAGAGACGATTTCTCTTTTTTCACATTTCACAATTTCAACAGGTTACTACTAATCTATGGCGCAATAAAAACTTTTGCTGTGCAGCTATATTAGTAAATATATTAATTTTATTATTTTTATTTCTAATGAAAATATTTATTTTATGTATTGCAATTTTGAAATATTTAATTAATAGTTGTAATTATAATTTGATACACGTTTAATTAAAAAACTTCACTAGATCCGGTTAACATTCTTATTGTAAAATATTTCATTTGTATTTACATTCAATGGCTTCTTTTAATTTAAACATTTACTTGATTTTAAAGATCTGTTAGTTATAGATCTTTCTTTATTTGTGTATATGATCTCATATACATATGCTTAGAAATTTGGGACTGTGTAATTTAAACTTTCACACTATTCATTAATTTTTTTAATTTTATGAATTTTTTCTTCATCAAACATGTAGAATTTCCGTTTCACTACACACGACAGTTGGTCTCACGCTCAAAGCTAAACTAAACTTGTTTGTTGTTTTTAAAAAACAAAAGACTTGAAAAACAAGCGTAATTCATTTTTACTCTCTCTCTCTCTCTCTCTTTTATCATGCTTACTTGTCTACCATTTAAAAGACTTACACAACGAACGTGATCAGCGATCACACTATATCACTCTCTTCTTTGGAATCTAAGTACAATATTTTATAACAGGAATGGAAAATATCGATTTAAGCTGGTACTAAATTCAAACCAAATGGTACTTTTTTAAACATATTTTTGTACTATTTTTTATTTATTTTGCCTGTAATTTATTAGTGTTAATCATGCTCTCAGCTTGACATAGAGTAGATAGGAAAAGAGGCAATTTTCAAAAGCATAAATAGTGGGAGTATATTACAAGTATGTATGTCCGTATTTTGTTTTTGTAAATAAAGGGAAAACTTAATTAAGGTACGATGAACGTTACTTCGTTCTTAAGTATTACCAAAAGTACTTACTGAAAAAGTGCGATTGTAATTTCCCATTCACAATGTATTTTCTTATTTGTTTGTGGAACCTAAATAATTTCTGAGAAAATTTAGTTAGTAAATTTCATTAACATATTGAAAAAATAAATTTTTGCCATTTACCAAAAAAACTGGAATTTCCCTAAATTTTGTATAAAGATTGATGAGATGTCGTACCTAATTTTTGCCAAGTTCATCAATATTGAGATTTAACCGGGTACATATAGTAGAAGTCTGCATGAAAAGAGAGGCGACACCTTTTCTAAAAGAATATTACTTATTGAGTTTATTGGAAGTGGTGTACTTATCGTTTCAATAGTTTTTTTTAAGTTATTTTATTGCAAACAAATTACATATTGATTTGGTAAAAACATTATTATGATGAAAATCAGAGAATAAGGAAAAACTTGTTAGAACAACAACAAACGTAAATACAACCAATATAATTGTCAAATTTTTGAGTCACAGCAAGCAAAAGAAGTTACAAATTATATGTATGTTGTTTTGTAAATATTCTTCTTGTTGTAGAATCCGTACACCCTTTATAAAAATATACCAAAATAAGGCCCTATCACTACATGGTAGCCAGTAGTAATCTAATGACGAAAACAATTTTCTCGGGTCATTTTTAGTCAAAAACCTTCCGCGGCAAATCGATTTTCTAAAAACATTCACAAACAAATTGACATGAATTTTAATAGTATAATCTACAAGTTTGGGTACTAAATTTAGAAGAGATATACACAGCAGCCCCTACCAATATTTTTTCCGTGAAAATGTTATGGCTAGAGTATTCAAAAAACGAAACCGGAAACCGGTTTTTCTTGTTTGAAAACCGGACGGTTTCGAATAGTTCAAATTTTCGAATTATTCGACTTGGTGTCGGTTAACCGGTTTTTTATGGATGAAATTTTCTTTAAATTTTGGGATAAAATAACAACTTTTATACACATTTTGTGTTAATTTTTCTATCTAAATACTTTCGGTTTAGTTTTTATTTTCCTACTTTACTATTTGCTAATATTTTGTAACTTTTGTATAGATAATCTTAATTTTTTGAAAACAGTTAACATGATAGTTTAAAAATATAGTCCATTTGTCTAGTACAAATTAATATCTTCCTAATAGTTTAATTTTTGCTTTTAGCTGAGAAATGTTTCATCTGATTTTGAATTTTCGGAAATATAGTCCAAAATGTGACTATATTTCCGTATTCATATGGTCTAATCATACAAATTTTGGGGGATTTCTATAAATAGTGAGTACCAAACACTCCATTTACATTTACCGATGCAAAACAAATATTTTTTGTGGACGTCCTTTTATCCTAATTAGTTTTCTCAGATGAAAAGTAGAAATATCCATTAAAATTTTTTAAAATATGAACTTTCTCGTGTCATTTACAATTTTTTTCTTCATATAAAATGAGAATTTTAAGGAATTAAGCTATTTCCATAAGATGTCTTCAATATTGTTAAAATTATAATTTTAAATATTTATAGAAAGATAAATATCTGTATACATTTAAAAATGGCCTATATGTTATTTTCGGAATATTTATATATCATTTTTGCAGAAAAAATACCATAAATAAAAAAACCGGTTAACCGGTTTTTACACTTAAAACCGTATTCGAAACCGGTTTTTTAGAAAATGCAATTTTTTGAATTATTAGAAACCCGGTTTTTGAAACAAACCGGTTTTTTAAATACTCTAGTTATGGGTCAAACAATAACACTTGTTTATATCGAAATGTCTGATTTTGTATTACAAAATTCAATGCCAGTTCCTATAAATGCGAACGAACATTTCTTTCTCATTTCATATTGAAAAACTAGAAAAAAAATCTTATCCATTCACATTTAGAGGAACAGGCCCTTAATACTTTGTTTAGAATACATATCGAAAACTTTAAAGCATTTGCCGCGAAAAAATTTTTAACGCTCGGGAAAAAATGATATACTTTTCGGACGTACTTTTTGTGAAATTAATAGAACCGGTAAGTAGTAGTCATTGAAAAGTAAATGGTTATGGAAGTACAACCCATTACCGAGTTTTTGCTGGGGTTGCGTTTTAGGTGACGATATGTATATAAAAATTGGAAAAGTATTATTTGATATTTTTTAATTCACTGTTGAATTAAATCTGTCTTGTAAAATCCTTACTTAATATGACAACTGTCTTTTTGCTACCGATACTTTACATTTGATAAAAAATTTTAAACAATAAACAATGGAATTTTCACCAGACATCAGAATTGCATTTTTAATAAATTTTATAGCAATCTTAATTTATCTTTTTAAATTCGCATGTGATTTTTCAGTGTTATTCTTTGAATAAAAGACGATGAATTCAAACTCGTACTTTGAGCTGATATAACCAAAGAATATTTAATACATAGAATGTGCTTCTTGCACAAGATAAATTTGGAAATTTTGAAATCCTCCTTTAAAAAAATATCTTATAGAACTTAAGATATTGTCACACTGAATCTACGCCTGCTCTCGATTTCTTCCTATCTCGTTAATTCACTATTTTGCTTAACACTTATGTTTAAGGGCTAATATTTAAATTTGTTGGAATAATAGTTATCTTAAAGCATAGAAATATAAAAATATAAAGATAAGAGAAAGGCATATTTTCGATTTCCTTTCATAGACTTTGAATCTAAATCAAGTTTAGTATATAGAACTCAATTTAAAAGAAAAAAATAATTCTAAGCGGGGTTATTTTTTATAGAATTTCAAAGTTTGTTACATTAGGTAAATTGTATTATATTGTTATATATTTAAAAAGATGTGATTTATTCAATTAGGTGATAGTTATGATTTTTTAGCTGACAAGTGGAAGAAAAAGCACAGAAATTCAACAAATGATCTTTTTAAAAAATGTATTGAAAAAAAGTGATTTTCGGATATCGGCTTTAAGAAGGAGTTAGTATTATCAGGATGGCGATATTTAAGTTAATATAACCATGTTTATGAGTATATCAAATTTGTGCTTTGTATGGAAGCAATACCTAATCATGAACCAATTTTTTTAAAAATTATGTTGAACGATTTATGTGTATGTCAAAATTATTTGTATAGAATTTTATGGTGATATAAATATTTTTAAAAGATGTATGTTAATTAATGTTAAGTCTTATGTTATTCTTATACGGGAGAATTTCCAACTAGAATGTTATTAAATAGTCGAAATTAATTTTCAATAATATAGCAAATTTCATCATTAGTAATTTTCACGTCACACATAACGGCTTGTACAAAAGAATCTAAAAAAAAATTGTTCTGAACGCTAAAAAACGATCAATAAATATTCCAAATTACAATGAAAAAGGTTTTAACCAAATAGCCAGGCGAAACTCGCAGATTTTTACATTTTTGTCAAAAAAGAAAAAAAGCAATTTCTATTTCTGTCACATCACGCACTTCAACCACTTATATCTTAGGGCTATTAAGTTCTTTCGATTTCTTCTGTCGACCAATTTGAATTTGACACGGGCGTAGCCATGGAATATTCGAGTTTATGTTATGAAAATGAATCCCACAAATGCTCCAGGGCGGCGCTATGGGGGCTCAATGCAGGGTACCTTCGACATGTAAAATGTTTAAACGCGTGCCATTTTTTGGTTACCCATCCGATATCAAAGATTTTTATAATTTTGGAAAGCCCTCAGCTAGGTCTTATATGCTATTTACCTCTTATAATTTCTGAGTTATAGGCATTTGAAAATTGAAATTTTAAAATATTGCCATACCTTGGTTCACTCTTTTTCAAATATAGTACGTAATTTCGAACCAATAGATTTAAATTTTTTGTATTAGTAAGACAACAAAAATATCAAAAATATACCAACAAGGGGAAATAGCATTTATGGATCCAAAAATAAACAATTTTCAATTCAAAATTTTTAAAAATGGTAGATATTTGCAATTTTTGGGGGCAAAAAGTGCCAATTTTATGATTTTTTGAAAGATATATTTATGGTAAATATCTTGATGTAAAAAATAAGTTCTATTTTTTGAATATATCGCTCATACGCCCTTTCGAATTTGACCTATTTTTTATCAATATCTTAAATTTGGGCCACATGTTCTAAAATCCCAAAGCTGGGATTAGAATACTAAAGCAGTTTTGGAAGCCTTGATGAGTTTCCTTTTTATCCCCAAAGTATTTTCTGAGCACCGATAGAAATGTGGATCCTGTGGGTAAAATTATAAAAAATAACATTTTTGGGATTTTTTTGGTAATATAGTTGTCTAACTAACACAAAAATTTAAATCCATTCGATTCAAAATTACGTCCTACATTTGGAAATGAGTGGACCAAGGTATGGGAAAATTTTTAAATTAGAAATTATAGGAGGTTAATCCATTTCATTCATTTTTATATAAATGTGTGTTTGTATGTTTGAACTTTATATGACATCTCCCATATAAATTAAATAGAAAAATTCGTTTATCTTGGAAACTATTACAGTTAGAATCTTAA